CTCTCGCTCTCGCTCTCGCTCTCGCTCTCGCTCTCGCTCTCGCTCTCTTTCTCCCTCCTTCTTGGGCTCATGTTTACTCTAACTCTTTCTAACGTTAGCTCTCACATCTCCCTCCTCTCTGACTCAGTCTCTCTTAGACTCTGTCTCTGTAGCTCTCTGTGCCTCTGTCTCTCTCCCTCTCTCACTTGCTCTAACTCTATCTCTGTCTCTGTCTTTGTCGCTCTGTGTCTCTCTGTTTAGCTCTTTCTCTCTTCTTCTCTCTCCTTCCCTCTTTCCGTTCCTCTCTCTCCCTCTTCACCCCTCCTTCTCTCCCTCACTTGCTCTTTCTCTCTCTCTCCCTCTTTCCCTTCCTCTCTCCCTTTCTCTCTCCATCCCTCTTTCCCTCCCTCCCTCTCCCTCCCCATCCTTCCCTTGCCCTAACTCTAACTTTAGCTCTCTGTCTGCCTCTGTCTTTTTCTGTGTATCTCTTTTAGTCTGTCTCCCTCCCTCTCTCACTTGTTCCTTCTCCCTCCCTCTCTCCCGCGCCATCCTTCCCTTGCTATCCCTCTTAACTTTAGCTCTCTCCAGCTCCCTTGCTATTCACTTCAGGCTTCACTCCTCCCTTCTTACTCTCTCTGCTCTCCCCTCTTCTCTCCCTGTTCCTTTTCTTTTCCCTTACCCAGGCCACAATAAAATTTACTGAGAAATTTCTCAACTTTTCTCCATGACACTTGTAGCTACCTCTGTCTATTTTCTCTTTAGTTGTATTCACTGGAATATCTATTCTATGAGTGATACCGTTGTGTAATCTTGCCAAAATTTCTGAAATCTTAAATGCCTAATAATATTTTAATATTTCTCCAGTTAAACAATAATTCAACGGGATATAGTTCTAGACACTAAAATTGTTACATCACCAGATCTTAGATATCAAATGTGTGACAGAATGATTGTGAATCTTATAGAGAGTGATAATCACCCTCTGGGTGCTTTTGGAATGCTGTCACTGTATTAGGGTTTCTATTGCTGTGAAGTGACATCATGACCACAGCAACTCTTTTTTTTTATTCAGATAGTATTTATTTAAAGCATAGAACATGATTATTTTAATACACACATTTTGTCGAAGGCTGTATATACTCTTGAGTATATACTCAAAAGTATGCTCCAACATACCACAAGAATGCTTGCTTAACTGTTTCATAGCAGCTTTAATCATAATAGCCAGAACCTGGAAACAACCTAGATATCCCTTAACCGAAGAATGGATAATGAAGATGTAGTTCATTAACACATTGGACTATTATTGAGCTTTTAAAAACTATGATATCATGAAATTTGTTAGCAAATAAATGGAACTAGAAAAGACCATTCTGAGTGAGGTAACCCAGAAAGAACACATAGGATATGTGCTCACTTATAAGTGGTTAGCCATAAAGTTAATGATTACCATGCTATAATCCACAGACTCAAAGAAGCTAAATAACAAGGAGGGCACAAGGGTGAACTCGTGGATCTCATTGAGAAAGAAAAAAATAATAGATATTATGGGTGGATGGGGGAAGGGACTTCATGGGGGTGGGAGAAGGATGGGAACAGGAGAAATTAGGTTGGGGGAGGGGAGAGCGAGGGGGGGGAGAGAGCACGAGCGAGCGGGCGGGGGGGCGCGGGGGGGCGGCCGAGAGAGAGAGAGAGAGAGAGAGAGAGAGAGAGAGAGAGAGAGAGAGAGAACTGAGAGGGCCAAATAGAATTAGTGGTGTATCTTTGGAACAAGGTAGAAACCTAGTGCAGTGACACACATTTTGTGAAAGGCTTACTGAACTCAAGCTAATTAACATATTCATTGTCAGTTCTCTCTCTCTCTCTCTCTCTCTCTCTCTCTCTCTCTCTCTCTCTCTCCTCTGCTTTCTTCAAATTTCAAGAAAACATTACCATTAGTTATAGTCACCTTGGTGGACCCTCTTGTCCAGAGCTTACTCACGTTGTAACTGAAAGTTAGTATTCTCTGACTAACACCCCCTTAGTTCTCTATGTGCTTTTGCTTTGCATGGGGCCTTTTGCCCAGTGCAGAGTCAAACTGACAACTAAAAGAAATTTCCAAAGGCTGGGCAATGTTTATTCTTGTAGCTCATTATGTCTGAATCCTGCAATTTCTATGTCCTGAGTTCATCCAAGTCCTCATACGGGTAAAAATCATGTTCCTTTGGGGTTGTCCCTGACCACAGTGTTGGGAGAGCCACATTTCCTCAAAACCCCAATTATTTTCTAGAGCCTTGGAAACCATGTGACCATGATCTCACCACTACAGCAGTGTGGCCACCTTTCTACCCTACACTTAAGCACTATAGTCTGGTCTATTCTGTAACATAAGCTCAGTTCTTATTAATTAACCTTGTAATTAATCCTCTAATTATGAGTTATGTAACGGTTCCACAGGCAGCTAAACCACAAGAATGTCTTGATAATCTCGTTGGGAAGGATGACTACAGCTACTGCTCTAAGTGAGGACCAAGGTCATGTTTTAGAGAGTACAGACACATTCCAACTACCAGCATCCCTCAACAGTGTTCTTAAAACATACTCTCAGTCTATGAAGCTGCTGCTAGAATACAGACCCATTGGCTGTCCCCCAAAACCTCAAAATCAGAATCTGGGGACATTACTAGGAAGATTCACCTGGATAAATAACTTCCCATGAGTCTGGTGTTCTCTGAACCAAAGCAATTGAAAGCAAAACCAAAGCAAATATGTTGGTGAATTTTATAAAGCTTAAAAAAATAGTTATAGTAATAAAGTGCTAATATGTATGTTCTATGGAAATATTAGAAAAAGGTGCTTATATTTTATATACCTATTTTAGAAAAATAGGTTTAAGTCTCTTGCTTGTTTTCATTTCTTTTTTTATTTTTCAC